GTCTCTTAGTTGCTGGCAGAAGAATCATCATGGGATATCGGTACTGTGGTTCGGATGTACACGGAGACCCGGACTCCTGTAGCGGTTTTTGAGAAGCGATCATTTGTGAGTCTAATTTATCGGGAGGGTAAATTAAAACGAATGCATCCTGGGAGAACGGCGAGGCACTTGGAGTTCGGGATGAGCCGAGATGAAGGTCTTCGGAGGAGTGAAGGAACGAAAGGAGAAGACGAAGAAAAAGAGTGAGCTAGTATAGTAGTCGTGGAAGAGACGTACGAAGGAAAAGGGAAGGAGCCAGCGTGATTAGGGAGGAATGTTGATTAGATCCATCAGCTGGAAGACTGCTGGTCCTTCTCTTGCCTCCTAGTCGTGGGTCCCACAGCCCTTGTGCCTCTCGAAAACTGTAGACACAAGCCAACGACTATCCCCGGTCAAGTTCCTCCAGCTCATTACTAGGGAAAAATAATGTTCTTCCTATAGAGGATACAGCATCGGTATCTATTTTCAGTCCTCTTAACACGTACCAGGATACTTTGAACATTCATCGGTAAGAGAATCGAAGCTTTGTTCAGGTCGTATCGATTCCCGTATAACGTAATATTGTACTATCAGTATGATCTGTGCCCGTAATCGGGCTGCTGGTCCATGGACGACCAGCCGTGTTGTCGGTGGGAGCATTCCGGACGTCGAACCTCGGGCACAACGGCATGGCCGACGTACAGAGAGAGCGAAGGATGTGGATAGACGGAGAAAGAGAGAGAGAGAGTTTAATGCGGGAACGTGAGAGAGAGTGAGAGTGAGAGAGAGGCGGATAAAGAGAGGCTACAACGCATACCAGTGCCGGAGAGTGATGCAGTGTCGACTGTCAATACGTAATTGCTCTGGCATTTATCACCCGTGGTATGCTTTCCTCTACAAGTTCTGCATAACCCACGAAACGGTCGCAACGATATTGCATCGGGACTGTATGAACGAAGGGCTATAGATACGACAGAAGAGCGGGTAAACAGGATAAGTACGAATTAGAATTTAAATTACTGTAAATAGTTTGAAATTTCAATTTGTGGTAAAGTCAAATAGGTATACCTAGCGGTATAAGAATTAAGACAATGGATTGAATTATACATAGGCGTATGCAGAGACAAATTTGTTTTCATTAAGAAATTGTATGTAAAGTATCAGCAGCGCGAATCCTTCGGGATGGAGTGCTCTGGATGGAAGGCTCGACGGCGAGTATTAGGCGTCGGTGACTAATTGAGAGGCGAGCTGGAGATGCTGCGGGTTAAATCTGTGAAGAGTTGGGGTCAAACCCGGCGGCTATCGGAGCCCATATGACTAGGCTGCCTGCCGCCAATGGCATAGACCCACCGTTGCTTGCAGTAGGCATCGTAAAAGCTACAACACCCGCACTACAAATCTGACTCCGGTTTTTATTGACAAACAAAATTCCCAGATTCCATATTTACGGCTGCCCTGACGTCTTCTCATGGCGAACGTCGTGCGCCCTATGTCTGCCTCGTTCGGACGACTATGACCGTCATAAATTTGTTCCGTTTATATGACCGTTTTAAATTCCATTCCCGGTCAGGTGTAGCAGACCTTGTTAAGGGCTACAACCTCGAAGCCAAGGGGACTCCTTGACCCTTAAGCATATACTTTTCTATAGAAAATTTGTTAAGTCTACCTAGACCAAGCGGAAAGCTTCTACTTAATTTTTGATTGCTCCCAACAACTCTTAGGGTGACTTGGAATTGTCATTGGTCAAAGGGTTGTATATATCCTTGGGCCGCAAGAACAATTTTTCACTTTTACGGCAGCCATGTCCTTATTTAATTCCCACAGTATAAATGAGTCTCCTCGACTTGGTACTGAAGTGCTGCTAGTAGTTTGACTTTGTATCCCAGCATACGTGTACTGTTATCATAATTATCTTTACGGTATCCTTTTAGTGAATTTCGAGGATTCTTCTATAGAAACAGTGTAAGCATAGTGCACGCGAAAGTGACAGCCGGGAATTCCATTAGGTGGTAAGCATAAATATAATTGTACGCCTTGCTGACATAACGGTAAGATAATCCGTCGAGCGAAGCCACTAGCGCAATAAATCGTTATTTATGATCCCGACGCCTCGTGGTATCGCCGCGAGAAATTCAAGAGCGAGAGCCGGGGCACTACTGTAGGACTGTGAAAGAGACTAGAATGTTATCCTGCAATATTCTCTATGTGTATTTCAGTTTGACGTAGGCATATCGCCACAATAATACTTGTGTCCCTGTCCCATATAGTTATGGCTATATAATATAATCTAGACACACTTCTGGTTCTCGGATGCGCGCTCGTGCGCGGACCAATAAATTAATTGCACAGATTTACGTATCTCGGCCGTAAACCAGTCAGCGGTACTAATGCTCGCTTGCTAATTATGTAATTATATACCATTAAGGCGACCAATTAATACTTACGTACAATGACTCGCGCAGCGTCGTGCGGTCGTAAGTCATCGCGTGGCGATTCCGCACATTGCTCGTGATCCGGCTACCGTGGATTCCGACGCCTTTAAGACGCCTGTATAATTTATTGTTTTCCGTCTTGGATGACGTCCGGCGTGTGGCGATCTATGGCAGTTATACCCTTATAATATCGTAATCACGAAGGCCTCTACCCATCTCATTCCTGCACTACAGAGTCATCCATGTGCGCTCCTTCGTATTATACTCGTTGTTTGTCTTCCTCGTTCCGCTGTCTTTTTTTCTTTATTCGACACTGTTACGGTACACTAATGATGCACGCGAAAGTACTTTCTTCTTGAATTCGCAGTGCACTTTTCTTAACGGGAGTTCCGTCACGATATGTTGAAACTCTCAATCCGTCATCCGTCATGATTAAGAAAGTAAACATCATAGCGCATACATATGTATATCTATATACACGATATCAGTTATCTCGCTCATCCGCAACAAGTCTTCCTTGGTATCTGTTTCCCGTGATCAGGATTATCACGAAGTCAGATATAGGAATTCAGTGAGAGACCTGCACGAGATGCGGGCACTGATTTACTTAAGGGCCAGACATCCGGTTTGTCGAATTGCGCTCTGTAAGAGCGGATCGGGGGCGAACGAGAGGCGCGTTGCTCGTCAGTGCGTTAACCGTTTATCATTGCATCGACACGAGTCACGTATGTGGACCCTAACCACTTAAAAAACGACGATCCAGCGTTTAGTAGGAAGTGACGTCAGTCAGGCGAGAGATACGGTAACACTGCCCGTATGGTAATCGAGGCGAGTGTCTGCCCTCGCTCATCCAAAATACTCTGGCAATTACCAAAAGACGTGATGAGACGCTGCTGGCTACCACTGGAAGCAGAACTCATCCTCGTGGAGAGCGGAGAGCAAACTGCCTGATGATGCCTACTTCGTACTTGCTGCGAGTAGGAAGTAGCCTGGCGACGGCCGATGCATTATTAATGTCCCCTTTACTTGTTACCACTCTTGTACTTACTTGCTCGCGTGATCTAGAGACTCTGCATGCCTGAAATCGACGAATAGATCATACTGTACTGTATTAATGCATCGCTTCCCTTCTGTGATTATAGTATAGAGAGAATATATGTAGATATATATATATATATAGAGAGAGAGAGAGAGAAGGAGGCGAGTGGGAGAGGGAGGTTAAAAAATGATTGATCTTTCCGTAGTGAATGTGTCCACGATATTGGTCATTGGCATTAAAAAGGATTTGAACTGTCCGATAGCGTAGGTCAGGCACCTCTTGAAGTAGTTTTGGGTCATGTTAATTGTACCTGTATTCTCGTACTAGACAAAAGTTTTATATTTGAATTAATTGGGTGGCTAGTGAAATTCGTAGAATAATAATAGTGTATGGTTCGGCGTATATGATTATGGCCAAGTGGTCTCTGACCAAAGTAAGGGTCTCTAGTTTCGGTATTATAATGATTCAAACCATATACCATATAAGAGGTGTGGGCAAGTGCGGGAAGGAGATGAAACGATTGTGAACATGACGCCTATGACAGTATGTGGGAGTAGCTGTCACTCATTGTTGCCTCGGCCAGACGTGATACTCGGATATTTCACTACTTGATGCCAAGAGATTCGTGCGTTGCACGCGCACCCTCGTTACGGCATAATAATACAGTCGCGACGATTTTGATTCTAGTCAAGACACAATTATAACTGTCATGAATACTCTCGAAAATATTAAATCGATTAAACGAACTTTTCTAAAGCAAATTTAAATAGTGGCATGTACATTATAATAAATAAAAATGTGTAATATATATTCGTGATTAAAAAAAAAAAAAAATACGTAAAATGCGTGATATCATTTATTTTGTTTCAATTAATTGTCCGTCATACGAAATGCTTCACAGGTATTAATTTTGATCATACGCATAGATCGTATCGTTACATTTTTATCGATTAATGTGTCTCGTTAGTATGTAATTCTGAAGTTTATACATTTCTTGACGCATCGATCCCAACCCAACAACTGCACTGGTCGATGGGCTTAGATTAGACTGCATGCCATTCGTTTGTGGGCGCACGGTATTCTTATCGGCCGGTTACATCTATGGAATAAATAATATATACCCCGTAATAGCTTTTTGACATACGCAGCGCACATGCGTATGCTCATTCGTAAAATAACTTCGTCCACACAACTCTCGATCGTTCGCTTACTATTCCACAAGCATATATTCGAAGAGTGTGTTCTGTCCTGCCTTTAATAAAGATCGAAATCGCGCCATAGTCAGGTCGGGGTGATGGAAAATTTGTATTATTCTTTTTTTTTTCTCAAACATTTTTATTCCTTTTTTGTTCGCGTAACACAGTTGCCTTCTTTTTTATATATCATTATAAACTGTACGGAATATCATTAGATGTTAACTAGTCTAATTTTTTTTCTTGCCTACCCAGTAGACACATTTGGCTGGTATCGATCGCAGTTGCTAATTTATTCTGTTTTTCTTGTTATTTCAGAGGCCACCCTCCTCGTCGCTATCGTACCCTGGTGCGGGTGGAAATGACGATGCACGTAGTCCCGGTAGCGGTGGTACACCGGGTCCCCTTAGCCAACAGGCCCCGACCAGCCTGGATTCATCCGACCCCGGTAAGTCCCATATTTTTGTACATTCAAATAAATTTTACCTAATTCTTGTCTTCATTATGTGCCTCGTGCGTTTGTATATTAACTTCGCCGTTTTTTCCCACCTGAACTACAGCGGTACCGAACTTGCCATTGAGCCTTAAAATTTCACGTGTATAGCATTCTAATAGGATTTGCCAATAATATGCATAATTCATAGCCCTCGAGGTTACGAGGATAAGGATAAGGAAGACCCATCGTATGGGCCATGGATATATAGAGCTTACTGAAAGTAGATTCGTCGGGGTAACGTGGCAGACCTACATGCTCTCCCCTAATGACAATATCGCGCAATGAACGAGTTGATGACAATCAAGATGCGAGGTGAGATGCGTGTACACATCCTTCAAATTTTACAAATACATAAACGCACGTCAACACTCGTGGAAACGCGTTGCCAAGAGGCTAATGAGTGGACGGACGCAGTGGCGTAACTACGATCGGGCGGTCCCCTGACCGTTAATTCCTGTCTATAACCTCTTAAAAAAAATAATTATATTTTGCGAAAAGATAGGACTACCCGGTATACAACTACGTATCACTCTACATACTCGAGGCAATAGCATTTGCAGAAAGTGTCTTAATGTCGCGTGGCCAAGAAGTGCGATCGCGTCAACAAAGTGACTACAGGCCTCGTTAAGGTCTTGTCTCATTGACTCGACGTCGCGACGCGTCCCTTAAAGACGATAATTATAGCGCAGCCGGAGCTTATACGTCACAAGGATCCTCAGAGATCGTATAGGGAAAGTGCGCCAATGGACAACGGTCGGGTTCAGTCAGTCACCGGAGGGAATACAAGTTCACAACATCATCCCATAAAGATTCATTAGGGTCCGTCGTCTATACGTTCCCTGTCGTGCCAACATTACAGGCCGTGGCGTGTGCGCCGCACAAGACAAAACGGCTGATCAATAACAATCAGAGCCCGCGGTATTACATCACGCGGGAAAATAAATGGTTTTGAGATAGCGCCGCGAGCCGTGTCTACCGTGACGGTATATTTAATATTCACAGTGTCCCGTCAGCTAATTACCCATAACACGCCTCGGTACGTGAGAAGAGCTCGATCTATCGTGTCGTATCACGAGGATCGTGACTTTGGTATTTCAACGCTTTCGAATTTCGTGCTCGTGCTTGGTTGCCATTAAATATCATCTTGCGATCCGGCAGTAGAAGATCAAATCTCGGTCGCTCCTTGTTCTCCTTCCTTTTCCTTTTTATTTTCCTTCATTCTCTTTCCAGAGAATTTATGTGAATCTTGAATATTTTTCTTTATGGTTTTTTTTTTTTTTTTTTTTTTTTTTTTTTTTTTTTTTTTTTTTTTTTTTTTTTTTTTTTTTTTATAATTATTGTCGTGTGAAGTCTCGCACGCATATACATAATGCTGACAGTTTCATGGGTTTACAGTGAGAACCTCTGAGAGACATAACGATCTAATGAATCGATCCTCGCGGTAAACAAGGTTGCCCACGGCATGCTATCCTCTCGTCAATTCTCAATTATATTATTATTTATATTTTAAACGATGGTTGATAGTAGCACCCGCGCCTCGACCCCGCTCCGACAATTATCGAACGGGAAGACACACGCACACACGTCGACAATATTAACGCTTAGGCTTGTATAGCTCTATACCGTTTACCATGTGCGAGTATACAAATACCACTGCTTATAGTTACCTAATGTCGAAGATAATATCACTGGGCAAGCCCTATCACTATATACAACCGACCATTTGCTGCTCATTTCATTACGCGTACCATTTTCCCATCTAGTCATTGTCTCCCTTTCTTTATACCCAGTGTCCCTTTTATATCAACGATTATCATAACCTCCTCCCTGGAGTCTCTTACTCTCTCTTTGACGTTCTCTCTCTACGAGGCATCAACTTTGCTCCTACACCACCCACCGTTAATGCCTCCACCCGTTTGGCATTAGATGCCATCTACTACCTTAGTTTCTCACTCGGCTCCCACTGCTAGCTGCAGGTGCGCGCAGACTTGCAGGAGCTACTGCAAGATCGTCTTCGTCGCTCAGCACCATCAGCAGTACCAAGTGGCACCAGCATCGTTACTACGGTATACATTCCTACCTCTATAGGGAATATACCAGAAGCATCATGCAGTATGTATATTCCTGGTGCCAAAGTACCGGCACCAGAGCCACTAGCTGGTGTACCAGGTTGCGACCATTCTTCGAGGACGTATCCACGCTATCGCCGAGAATATCCTCGGGATTCCGGTTTTTCGAATCGAGAGGAACGAGTTCCTTCGTTCCTCCTTTCTCGTGATTCTCTGGTATATGCTGCTGGTGCTCTCTCCAAAGCGTGTACCACCTACCCATTAGGAAGGTTTCGTGCGGGTCCTCGGGATCCTCGGGCTACGTGGTGTCATCGACATCCTACGAGTCGAATGGGTGCCCTGCGAGAGCAGGGCCCACGACCGTGCGACAAGGGGGAGGACAGATATATCCGTTGCTTTCTGACAACTATCAAAGTTTGTGCTGGGCGCGAGTTCCCGGCTTGGGACTAAAGATCACGAAGAATTCCTGGAACTTGGAGAAGGAGGAGGAAGATAGAAGTAATGAGGCTGATTCTCTGTTTTCTGTGTTTTCAGAGTCGCCCTGGTATCTGCCGGTTATCGGCTGCCTTTTTCTCATTCTCCGAGCCGTACACTCCGTGCCGAGTTACTCCGGGCATAATGAGGGCTTCATGTCGTGAACTTTCTACTCTACCTTCTATTTTTCTCTTTAATCCTGATTCTTCGTCTTTGCGTTTGCAGAATGTTTTTTTTATGTATCCATGTATAGATGTACATGTAATGATTGGTGCTCAAAATCCCGGGCAGAAATTAGGTTACTTGGGCCATAAAACTTCTTTGTTATTCGAATTGCACGTTAACGTGCACGAGGACATCTTTGTATTTAGAAATGTTTCTAAATATTAACTGTCATACGCTGCGCGGTGATTGACATCGTAAATAGTCATAGAATCGCGTGACATTTGTACGGGATAGAAATTTTATTTAAAAAAAAATTTTTTTTTTTTTTCGAATTTTACATGACACATGACAATCAAGATAGGAGGAGTATATCAAAACTCCTTGAGTCCCCGTTGATTACGCGACGTCGATAAGTCGATGGATTTAGTATCAGTAATATGGCCAATTAAAATCTGTCGAAAGTTCAAATTTCATAGAATCACGCGAGCACTGGAGTACCGCAAAAGTGAATTTAATTAGCATGTTAATGAGTAATAAACTTATGTCCCTGTCATATTGATAGCTTGAAAACAGATAGTAGTATCGGCGTAGCGGGAGGCAGACTCATTAATATCACTGTTTACTACACTTCTAATCTATGATATTTTGCCTTACAAGGCGTTTAACAATGACTCTCATAGTTCATTGATTTGAGTTAATCTTTTTTATCGTAGATTCTTCTTCAAATTGCATATAGACAGTGTCGTTTGACCAGTGGTGATCGTAGAGGCAAGAAAAAAAAGGCGCCACTGTATCCATTACAGAGCCATTTAATTTGCACAATTCTGTACGATGTCGCAGCGACAATGTTTCCATCGTTTGTGATATACAGCGATATGTCGTGATTGCATTGTATAAGGAAGAAGCGGTCCGCAGTAATGGAGTCTCAAATGAGGAACGTATAGCGCGAGAGAACCCATTTGGGTTTCGTAGAATGTCCTTATAGAATACATTTGCCTCGTTAATGAATTCAAATAAACGACGTTCCGCGTCCCGACGCGTATCCTACCGTCACGATATTGGTTCCCCGGTTACGGTTATTTCGTTAAGTGGCCCAGCGACATCGATTAAATATTAAAGATAAATATCGGCCTGGTCACCCCTTCCATTTCGTCAGCCACCACCATAAATGTCGAGGTGTCGGTGATTTAAAAATAGTCATAAATACGCGCCTCCCGCAGGGGAAAAATCAATTAAGCCGCTTATATGAAATATGGGGAACAATTATGTACGATTGCCAAATCCATTCGTGTAATCGATGACCACATTATTACTCGTCTATGCGTGCCCCATGCTCATTTAATTACAATTCTCATTCGAATCTACTTTTCAGCATAGGGATTCAGCATAAATATGTACACGTTGAACTTTTTTTTAACTACCGGCACTCCCTCTTCCACGTAATCAACTCTTATCAAAATACACTTTTATCGGTCCTAAGAGCATCGCCAGAGCCATCGTAAATACGCCGTTTTCAACAAAATAGTGCTTTCTTTCTATGCAAGGATGACTTAAGGCGATATCGAAGCTCGCGCAAGTGACCCATGACCGCTTGTCATTCCAAGTAATATAACAGAAGAGCCTGAATGAGTGTGCCGAAGAGAGTGTTATAATGAGTAATGCACAGTGTCTTTATCCCCACTGAACTCTATAGAGTAACACGGTATCGGGGAGAACTAAAGAGAGAGTAAGGACTATATGTGTATTATAGTATACAGTATATAGTTATATATATCCATCTGTGCCGAGTTCATCGCATGCAGTAAATTTCCCTCAGTTGGCAGTACTCGATCACGCGAGAGGCATTCCTGGGCCAAACGAAGAAAAGAAGGTACCTTGAGCCTCGACAAAGAAGCAGCAGCAGATATCGGTACCTGGAGGAGGATTCGCGGTGATCGCGTGAAACAATTTTTAAGGGGGAACCCAAACCGATCCGATACCTAAGCTAACTTCAGGTTACATAGAACTACCTGTATCCATAGAAATCGATTGGTTGCCCCGCAACAGGCTGCAGTGCGAAACTAATAAATAGATTGTGTGAAGTAGGTGGGTAAATAAAGGCGTCACACTAGCATATACTTATCAGAGAGGGGGCGGGGGAGCGGGTCTAACGACTTGACTGATTATTCAAACGGGTTTACTCTCGGACTTTCGCGTGAACTTATAGTCTATGTAGCGGAGATAAAGCTTATCGTTATCACTTGC